ACAGTCGTCACGGTAACGAAAATGGCGGCGTTTTTGTTCTGGAATGAGTGACAGAAAAATAACGTAAATTCTCTTCGAGAGTGTAAAAATGAACGATTTGCAGGTATAGTTCAAAAGGAACCGATCTTTGTCCTGTTTTTGTTATTCAAGCATATTCCTGCTGTCGTTTTGCGAGAGCAAAGGAGGAGAGCGGAGTTGAAATGGACGAAGTTTTGAGTAGTCACGCCGTAGTGCCTGGTAGACCGCCGAAAATTCCGATGGCGCATTCGAAAAGACACTCACTACAGTCTGGAGACTCCATAGCAAAATTCAACAAACTGAAGAAACATTCAAGCCAACCGAAGCTTCGAAAAAATGTGCTTAGCGGATCGCTTGCGAGCTTAAACTTGGACAGTTCGAGGAAATATTCCAGTCTCGCTCAGATTAACGTGCAGACTCTGAAAGCCAGCGCAAAGACTTTGAGCGCTAGCAATCTTGCTGCCATTTCAGATTCGAATCTTTCGCTGAAGGAGGCTATGCCGCCACGGAGCTATGATCAGCCGAATTCCTCCTTCGCCGAAGTCAAGAGCCATTTTGAAGATCTGGTGAAATGCTATTTCCTGCAACTTACCAAGGGTTGTGGAAAGCAGAACTGTCAAAACAAGTTTTGCTTTTCCAGCAAAGGAGGGGTCAGATTATCTCCTGATGTGGCTGGAATCATGAGCATTGAATTAGCTACACGAAGTAAACAGTATGTATGCATTTCTAAGAACCAAAAAACGGCACCTTTACCAGCGAAACTATTTGATGGAGAGCCAAACAAGCCAAGACCATTTCTACACTGTTTGTTTTCAACATCACCGTTTAAAACACTTTTCCAACCCTGTTCCCAAACTCAGAGGAGAAATTCTGAGAAAAATTGGAGTCTACCGACCCAACTGACTGAGCCCAACAGAACATTTGAAAATCATGTGGTTGGATCTTCAGGTAAAAGTAATTCCAAAATTGAACTGGATAATGGTGTGGAGAAGTTCACACCTGTTGCTGGTGGTGATGGTAAATGTCTTGTGGCTGTTGGCAGTGGTACAAAAGGAGTGAATTTGCAAGCATCCGAAGTCAGAGAGGAGCCTGCAAAAAAACATGTTTTCACGCTTGATGCTGAATTTTCCAAGGTAAATTTGTCTGGCAATCTAATGAATGACCACGCTCTTCCTGGAATGCCAGCAGAACTGTTTGGCTCAAACAGCTCGTTAAATGACGTCATTGACTTGGAAGAGTTTGAGAAAGAGTGCGCCCTTGAAATGTCATCAGGTCACATTCAGGAGTTCTCCTTGACTCATCTAACATTACCAATGTTGGAATCTTCCATTCAAAATTACAATCAATGTCAAGATGCTGCTTTTCTCATCAACACTGTCAGGACAGTATTCACATCATCTGAAGCACTAAATGACAGTTTTAGGACAGCTAAAGGGGAATACCATGATTCCCTGGACATTCCTGCTGCGAGAAAAGCGTACAAGCTTCTTTTAGGCCTGGAACCCCAAAATACGTTTGTGTTGCCACTACTGAATGCTTTAGAGATTCATCTTACTGCACTTAGCTCCCTGATCATCAACCCTGATGAGGTTGCGCAGCTGGTAATTCTGGCAGAGAACCCTCTTGTTCATGAGTCACAGACACTTCTATGGAAACTGTGCCTGGTGTTGAGCAAACTCCCACTCGACTCAAGGCAAGCCTTGATTAATATTTTTTCCTCTTACGATGTGGATTCCTTCAAGCATCTGATTCAGGTATGACCAACAAAATTTTTATTGTTTTCACAAGCCCTTATTTGACCTGAACTTCTTAATAAGATAGATGGTCAAACAAGGTTGGCAAAATCATCCTCACAGCTGGTCATTGTCCGGCCCTTAATGAAATCCCTGTCATCAAGTTTGAGGTCCATGTTATAGA